GTCATTGACTAAATATGACTTTCTATTAATGGGCACCTTGTCTCCACAGATACATCTGGGCTCACTCTCCACGTTGTCTTCCCCAGGCTTTTGGGAGATAGATGACCGATGACAAAACCAGGATAGCACTCGGTGACTTTCTGCTGGTTCTAGAGAATCCAAATGAAAGTTCCACACCAAACCTGCTCTGCAGAGGGGACCCACGTGAGGAAAATGATAAAAGATAATTTCATTTCCACTGTGAAAGAGACCTTGCTAGACAGCCTGTTGGCCTTACCTTCCAAACAGATCCAGAATCCCAGCACTTTCCCCTCATTCCCTGCTAATTCCCCAGCCCAGGCAGGGCAATTTATTGCATGCCCAGCTCCGAAGTATGTGCAACAGTGCCCCTAGGATTGTGGGGGGGCACAGTCAGCCTGGGGTGGCCTTGTGATAACCAGTGATATGGTTTGGCTGTGTCCCCACCCAAATTTCCTCTTGAATTGTAATTCCCACAATCCCCACGTGTCAGGGGAGGGACCTGGTCAGAGGTAATTGAATCATGGGGGTGGTTACTGCCATGCTGTTTTCTTGATAGTGAGTGAGTTCTCAAGAGATCTGAAGGTTTGATAAGGGACTTTTCTTCCACTTCACTCCACACTTCTTGCTGCCGCCATGTGAAGGATGTTTGCTTCCCCTTCCACCGTGATTGTAAGCTTCCTGAGGCCTCCCCGGCCCCGTGGAAATGTGAGTCAAAAACCTCTTTCTTTTATAAATTAACCAGTCTTGGCAGCATGAGATCGGACTAATATGCCCAGCATCCTCTACCTGGAGTATATTTTGTATTTTTTGTATGTTTTACTGCTTATTTGTCGCATCCATTTCTGAATGAAAATCCTTTTGTTAAAGCGAAAAAATTTGAACACTCTCTGCTGGTCTGAGAACTTCACTGCAGTTACCTCCCGGCCAGGTACCGGAATCCACCTCCCCACCTTTCCGTTTATTCCAAACACAGCAGCCCGAGAGATCTTGTTAGAGCGGGCATCAGATCACAGGACTCCTTGGCTCCAGTTCCTCCAAGAGCTTCTCATATCAACCAGGGAAAAACCTAAAGTTCCCCAGTGGCCTCAGCTTCTCCCTACCTCTCTGACCTCACAACCAACCCTCCCCTCTCACTCACCAGCTCAGCTGTGCTGCCTTTCTCTCTATTTCTAGAAACTTGCCAGATGTAGCTGGTCCCTCTGCCAGGAATTTTCTCCCCGATGAGCATGTTGATGGCAAGCTGTCTCGCCTTAAGTCTTTAATGCAAATGTCACTTTCTCAGAGGAACTTTTTCCAACCACTGTTGCTAAAATTTCTGCTGCACTTTTACCTTCTACATCCCTCTGCCCTGCTTTAGTTTTCCTGTAGCACTTACTACTCCTGACATACCATGTACCTGACCTATCTGTCCCTTTCTTGTCTGCCTGCCTCCCAAGAAAGTGACATTTCTGACCGCAGGAATAATTGTCTGTTTTGTTCAGGAGCTCCACGGCCTAGCACTGTGCCTTGCACATAGTAGGTCTGCAATGAATATTTTTAAATGAATAAATGAATAGATGAATGGAAGAATTTATGGACAGACGGATGGATAATGGATAGATAAATGGTCGGATGGATGGATAGATGGATGGGTGGGTGAATGGATTGATGGGTGGATGGATAGATGGGCAGATACATAAACAGACAGATGAATGGGTATCTCCTTCCTTTAACCCAGAGGAAGCACAGTTGGCTGCCTAAACTCGAGAGTTCTGGGACCACCAGCAGAGATTCAGATTCAGTAGATTTGGAACAGGGCCTAGGAATATCATTATAATAGGCTCCCCAGGGTTCATTATATACAGTGAAGTCTGAGTTCAAGGGATGACAGAGAGGTCTGCAAAAGGTTGGCTTGAACATCTGGCTGAACGATATGTGATGTGCATGTTAGACACTCAGGGAGCATTCTCTGGGAAGGACAGGATTTAAGGAGTAGTGACAGTGGCCTTACTTTGTTTGATGAGCATGCCGTCTGTCATATGTCTTCCTTCAAGCTTTCACAAACTGTTTACACTATGACCCAAATTCCACCTGGAAAATGCATCAGTAGAGCATGTACTGCGGCCTCCTCTGTCCTCAGCAGCAGAGGTCATTTGTCTCCTCACTGCCTTGCTGGGAAAGTGATGGGAACTTGGAGCAGCAGAGACTCCTCATCACACATCAGCCTGCCTATCACCTGCTGTCATAATCAAACCTCGCATTCAACCAGCACCTTGCACACTCTGAGCTCACCACGTGTCTTTGCACCGCATTTTCAGGAGTCACTTCATCCAGTTCCCTGGCAGTTACTTTTGAGCCAGAAGATGCTAGCTCCATGTTCCACAGTATTTCATGCATGCCTGTCTCCTAGCCTTGCCAATACAGTGTCAATAAGAATCTGTGCACATAAAGGTCCAGTCATCTTTCATCACCAGGGCCCGAAATGAGTGGTCATTCGGTAAATGTTTGCAGGCAGGGAAGAAGGAAGTGTGGGGAAGGAAGGAGAAGAGAAAGCGTAACAGAGTGAAGCCACAGCAGTTTAGCAGAATAAGACACAAGGCACTGTCCAGGTACAGCAGCTCGCGCCTGTAATTCCAGCATTTGGGGAGGCTGAGGCAGGAGGACCACTTGAAGTCAGGAGTTTGAGACCAGCCTGAGCAACATAAAAACAATTTTAAAATTCAAAAAAAAAAAAAAAAAAAAAAAACAAGAATAAATTTAACAAAGAGTGAAAAGAAAAACAGTATCAGAAGATGGCAAGAAGAGTTGAGGCACAGCTGTTTAATGGATGCTGCCAGCACCCCAACAGCATCACCTTGGCACTCCATACATACACGTGCCCATGGCTTGTGACCTTCAAACCCCTGAGCCTGCTGTACAAAAGATTTCAATGGCTGTAAGGCCGTGCATGGCTGACCAAGCTGGGGAGTTAATATCCCAGGGCTGCTCTCAGCCATGATGGAAGGCAGTGAGTGGGTGAATACCCAGCTTCCCTTTCCCGCAGCACAACGTAGCAGGATAAGCCCGAATATCCTCGGGGTGGGGCGGCCTGCTTACAAGAACTCTCTGCCTCGGTTTTCCACCCTCCCCCCAACCTTTCCCGACTCACTTGCCGTTGCTTTCTAGGATCACCTCTAAAATACATGACTTGCACTCACATCTTGGTTTTGGGGTCTGCTTCTGGGGGAGCCCAACCTAAGCCAGTCCCCAACTAGAATAAGCCAAATCACTTGCACAGATGGCAGACATTTTAGAAGCATTGTCTCTGAGGGCTCTGAAAATGGACAGAATTATTTAAAAACCTTGCCATTGACTGAAGAAAGCCTCAGATCTGGCACAATGGCTGCCCGTTTATAAAAATAGTTGAAAGTAATTGCATGCTCCCAACTGCCACCTCCACCCCCATCAGGGTAATGCTTCCCATTCACTGCTCTGTGCTATGATTTCCTGGATCCTTATTTTCATCTTCTGACTCTTCTGCTGTAGGAAAAGTTCCCATGTGCAACTCAGAGCCTTTTTCTGTTCAACCAGCTCTCAAGCATCACCCACCTGGGAAAGCTGTGCAGGAGAATCAGGCTCTGTGCATCTACAGGGGAAAGCGACCCAAGCTGAAAAAAATGTTAAAAACTGAAATGTACACAAAGTGGGGTACATTTTGAGCATGTGGACATGTATTGCTTATTCAATCTGAGTTTTTTCATGAGAGATACAGACACAAATGACCAATTATATAATGGCACTGTACTGCTTCAAACTGATTTCTTGGCTCGAGGTAGGGAAGGCTGGCCCTGGGCTCCCCATTCTTCCTCTCACAGCATGTGTCCTTTGTGGGGTCACCACCTCCCCACGTCTGTGCTCCTCTCCAGGATGGCACCTCTCGAGAGCAGACACAGTGTCTTGCTCACCAACATAATCTCTACAACCCATCCAGTGTCCAGGGTCATTCAGGAGATGCTGGTTGAGTGAATACAGATGGATGAATTCATGACTTTTTGCTCATTTTCTCTCTGTCCTTTAGGTGCCTGAAGACATGCACTTCCAGGAAATTCTTTTCTAAGAATCTGCCTTTACAGAGATGTTTGCATTTTATAGGGATCGTTGGGAAGAAGATAAAAGTTTATATTTGCTGTTACACAGTCTGAGAATTTGTCTTCTCGCTGAAGAGTTTAACACATTTGCTTTTCCATGTTAACTCATTTTTTGGTCTTAATTCTGTCATTGTAATCTATGGTGTTTATTTATGTTTCCCGCATGCCCCCAACGTATTTCCTTTCCTACCTTTGGCCATATCGGCAGGCAGTACTTGCTCTCTTTTTTGTTTATAATTTATGCGTTTTCTGTTTACTTCACTAACAACAGTAATGCTTAAGTTTGATTTGTGTATATATTTTTTAAATCAACATTTGTATAAACTGCATCTTTTAGCTTTTTCACATAGGGTGAAAACATTAATATGTAGCACGTTACTGTTTTTTTTTCTTTTGTTCTATCTCCCTCCCAAGCTACTGGAAAGTCACTGGGAATTTAACATGCAGATGATTATCATTAAATTATTTTACATTACTCTTTATTACTCTTTATTTCTTTTTTTTTCTTTTTTTTTTTTTTTTTTTTTTTTTTTTTTTTTTTTTCTTTTTTTTTTTTTTTTTATTGGTGCGTTTTCGGCTCACTGCAACCTCTGCTCCCGGGTTCAAGCTATTTTCTTGCCTCAGCCTCCTGAGCAGCTGGGATAACAGGTATGTGCCACCATGCCTGGTTAATTTTTGTACTTTTAGTAGAGAGGGGTTTTTACCACATTGGCCAGGCTGGTCTTGAACTCCTGACCTCAGGTGATCCCCCCGCCTCGGCCTCCCAAAGTGCTGGGATTACAGGCATGAATCACCGCCCCTGGCCTCTTTTTGGTATTTTTTTGTTTTGTTTTTACTTTTGCATTGAGTTGTACAAACTTGTTATCAATGTTTACTCACTCCTTCATGTCCATTTCATGTGGTTTATTTCCTGCCAATCTTCCCTGTGAATGCCTTCCACATTGTGGCCATTGCTCAGTTCGCAGGAGATCTTTGCTGGCAACTTCCGCAGTGGGGCAAGGGGTACCTTTCAGTCCCTGAGATCGTTGTGACTGTGGTCACAGGAAGGAACGAGACTTGGCAAGGTTGGATGCTGGGGTCACAGGTGTCCCCTCAACACTCGGAAGCTGCTGGTCCGCTGTGACTGATCTATCTTGCTGCAAGAGACGTGTAATGCCTGTTCGGTTTTATTTCGGCAGGTTGCCTGTATTTCTGGAATTTTGATATCTTCAGAAATATATCTAATTTTATGCTTTTCTTCTTAAAATCCAAATAGCTTCACTTTTTTTTCTGATTATAAAAGTAATAAATGCTCAGTTTTCTAGAGAAGCCAATCTACTATTGACTGCTTTGATTAGAAACAAAACTTACAAAGCGAGCTTCTCAGTTTATACTGTTCCCTTTTCTCTAAAGAATGCTCTCAGATCTCTTTGAGAATGTGAATTGCTTATTTCAGAGCTCTCTTGTGCTCCTGAGGCAGGCTGTCAGCATGGGGGAGGTATTTGTAAATACATTCTTTAAAACCACAGATGCTATTCAGATAGCTGACGATTTCCAGTTTGCTGGGTATTCCAGCAGAGAGGCATGTCAGTCCCTGAGCCCTCGGCTGAGGATCTGGAGAGGCTCCTGATCCCTGGAGCCAGGTTCCTTTCAGAGTTGCCACAGTGTCTGTTCTCTGATCTGCTTGTGGGATGTAGCCCAATAGGCCACATTCCTTGTAGTCTTTAATTCACATATAAACACTAACAATATCTCACGTGACTGGCTAATTTTAAATGAGAAATGTTCTGTTACTTGCACATCTTTAAGGAAGATACCACACATTTCTACTCTTTATTCTCCTTCACACTTACCCTGTTAAGAGGTAATACATCAACTGACTTCTTCGCATGGCAGAATTATGGGAAATACAAAATATAGGCGTGTTTGCAAGACAGATATTTGAATGTAATATTTTATTCTTCCTTCTAGGTCACTTGAAAAGGGTCCTGACCCACCCACCATGACAAGCAATTATTTTTCTGGACAGCTTCCTGATGTCCCCAAGGAGAGAGAGAGCGTGGCAGCCAGTGAGGGAAAGCATGCCACAGGTTCTGCCTGCTAACCTGGCAGGAGGGTGCTCGCGACACTTAATTTATCAATGCTTGTTTTCCCTGCTGGAGCCGAGTACACAGGGTCGCTTCGCCAACAGAGAAGGAGGAAGGGGAAGCCATTCTTCACCTTCTTCAGCAATGTATTTTTGTTTTGGTCAATTTCCCAAATAAATTATGGTCTTGTCTCATTGCCACATTGGTGGAATTCTTGCTAGTGTTATTTACTACCTTTTAAAGCTGTGTGAAACCAAAAGGTACTTAAAATGTTAAAAAAAAAAGAAAAAAAAGGAAAGTTAGCCAAATTGAATGCTAAATTTTTTACATTGTCCCACTGGCTCCAGTTGAAGCTTAATCATCACAACCCTTCAGTCCACAGTGCCTGCTTCAAGATGCAGCACAAATCAAAATCGCAAGAGTCTGGACATTTTACTTTCGTGTAACTCATTAGGCATTTCCCCGTGCACTGTGATAAATGTCTCTCTCAACCAAATATTTCATCTCACGTGTGTATGTCCCTATTTCCCTCTGCAGAATCACTCTCAGGAAATACAAGCTAATGATGTCTGTGGTTCTGAAATTTCATTGTTATTATTTGTTTAAGACATTTTAGAAAAATCTGTGGACAGCTTACTAAAAGGATGCTGAGCAATGAAAACATTATTAGACCTTATTATTGTTTATTGTACCCAGATGTTGTGCATTTTACACATCCCAAAGGATTAGTAGTAATGTCAGATATCAGAATCTTACTTTTCCTTGCAGATATTAAGTATAAATTTTTCTCATTAAAAACAAAATATTTACACTGAACAAATGGTGTATGTGTGGGTGAAGCATCAGGTCTCAATAATCAACACTGCTCAAACAAGACTTAGGACATGACTGGAGACAAAAACAAAGCTTAGACTACTGCTGTTGGAAACGCTGGTTTAAAAAAAAAGGAGGGGCATAGTATGCTTGTTTTTTAATTGTATAGAATTTTCCATCTGGAAAGGAAATGAATGCACACATCCACGGTGAAATAAACCATTCTAGCAAACATACAGAGGAAGAATTTTCAAGAAATTTTTGTTTTTAATGAAAAGGGAAGCAAATCAAAGAAAGCCCAGGTAAGTGTTAAAAAGTACTAAATTCATAGTAAAGGTTCAGGCAATCTGCCCACTGCAGTCAGAAAGGTTTTGGCTGCAAGTCATTTAAGACACACCATGGGAAAATAAACGAAGAAGGAGGAAGGGGGAATGGCAAATTGTAGTTTGGCAGCAAAATTAGTCCAGCTAGCTCCATTAGATATTAAACCATGTCATAAAGCAAATAATTGAAATAATGAGGAGCTAGTTTTTTTTTTTTTTAAGATATATAGAGTAGCATAACAGAATCAACAAAAATAAGACTTTTATATAAGAATTCAATCTATAATAAAAAAGCACTCCATATGGGGAGAGAAATCATATAAAAAATGCTGCCGGGAAGGCTTGTGAGTAATTTGGAGAAAAGCGATCTAGAATGGAAGCCAATATTCTGCATTCACCACTCTCATCTTTTGGCTTTTTGACCAAAAGAGGAAGATAGCAAAAAATAAATAAATAAATAACAGGAAGGAGGGAGGAAGAGTATGCAAGGAATAATTTCTCCCTGGTCCTCCATGCCAGGTTGCTCCAGAAGGCTGTGTCTCTGTCCTAAGGGCTAGAGCTTGGCTTGAGCAGCCTTTCCATACAACTCCCCAGGTTCAGGAAGCTGCTTACTCGCCTGCTCCTGCAGGTACAGAGGTGACAATCACCTCCAGCTGGGCTGGGCCCAGGGTGCTGCGTCATTCCTTCAATTCTGCTGGCACTGTCTTGATCATGCTTAGGCTCACCTCAGTTCCCCAGTCCTGGTGGGCCTTCTGGTTCCTTCTGGGATACTGACTGATCCAGGTGCCCTGGGATTCAGCCACTAGGTTTCAGCTTCCAATGTGTTGGGATTTGGATCTGTCCTTGCCCAAATCTCAGGTTGAATTGTAATCCCCAGCGTTGGAGGTGGGGCCTGGTGAGAGGTGATTGGATCATGGGGGTGGATTTCTCCTGAATGGTTTAGTGCCATTCTGTCGATGTTATCTTCATGATGGTAAGTGAGTTCTTCTAAAACCTGATCATTTAAAAGGCCTCCTGCTTTTGCCTGTGACGTGTGACATGCCTGCTTCCCCTTCACCTTCCACCACGGTTGTAAGTTTTCCTAGACTTCCCCAGAAACTGAGCAGGTGCCAGTATCATGCTTCCTGTATACCCTGAGGAACCACGAGCCAGTTAAACCTCTTTTCCCTATAAATTATCCAGTCTCAACTACTTTTATAGCAATGCAAGAACAGCCTAATATTGTGCAATTTTAGAATCCCAAGTTTCTCCATTCATCCAAGACTGAGGAGTGCTCCTGTGGCCTGATTCATGCTCACAGACTTGCAATTGGCTGGTGGATGTGAATCAATATAATGCTCTAACTCAAGTTTTTCTTACCAAGCAATTCTAACCCCCAGGGGACATTTGGCAATGGCTGGAGACAGTTTTGGTCAACACAACCTGTTGGGGAGGGTGAGGCGTGCTACTGGCCTCCAGTAGATGGAGGCCAGGGATGCTCCCAAGAATCCCCAATGCACAAGACAGCCCCCATGACAAAGAATGACCCTTCTAGAATGTCCATAGTTAGTGCTGCTCTTGTGACCTTGCGAAGCCCTGCTTGGGTTGCGGGGACAATGATGCATTCATAGAGTTCAGTCCGCAAAGCAGACTCTTCTCTGAAAGCTAAACCTATTTGGAAAACAAAATTTCTACCATTGACCCATTGGTAAGCACCAACCAGAGGAAGAGGGGTGTCTGGGTGGCCTTAAGAGAAATAGTACTTGAAAACTGTTGGGCTCTGTACGCCCAGTTTCTCTATCTCCACCCTGGTGATGGACCTCTCATGGGAACTGGGCAGCTCCTGTGGCTGCTCAGAAGAGCCTACTGGTGTGCCTGGGTGGAGAGTGTGGGACGAGGCCTCTGTGCAGGCTGTGGGAGTCAGCCCAGGTTCCAGCACTCACTGTTCCCTTAGGTTAGTTTATTTCATCTCTGCTAGGTGCAGCTTCATTATTCATCACATGTGGGTACTAATGGTGGCAAATTCTGTAGGGCTGTATGGGAGTTCAATGAAATAAGCCATGTGAGAAGCTTATGCTAACTTCATGTGAATGTGGTCCTACAAAGAGAGGCCTAGGGTCAAGCCCCTTGCGGAAAACGCTGGGTTAAATGAAATTAAACTGGACTTGCTTGTTTTCCTCGTAGGGCCTCTCAGAACATTTAAAGCATGATTAAGCATTTCAGCTCTCTAAGAGACAGGAATAATATACAGAGGTCTGCATACCCAGGCACCCTCAATCCCTGTATTACCTTACAGAAGTGACCTTCTTCAGCACACACCACCGGAAACGCTGCTGAGCCTCTGCAGCATGCTGACAAATGACCCAGTTCCTGGTGTATATATTCAGGTGCCTGAGTTCACTAATTTTCTATTGGTCACTGTGAGCTTCTCTTTCAGAGGGTGGCACTTTCTCGTTTCTCCAAACCAAGGTCCTCTCCTTTGGAGTCTACAGTTGTGTTGGCCAATTTTATCCACCTGACTTTCCTGTTGTTTGTCTTTGCCCCGTTTTTAATATTGGCCTGAATTTTTAGACCTCCATTGTTATTAAATAAATGTAGTATCTATTGTTTTCCAACATTTAATCTTTTCAGCTTAATTCAAAAAACAAAAGGTTAAGTTGGACTACCTGCTCAACACTACCTATGTTGAAAATAATAATAATTAAAAACTCTCTCTGTGTTATTGTCACTTCAGTTCGGGAAATTGAAATTAATACAGGTGTAGAAGTAACAACGGTTACATTATTTTTCACAGTCGAAAACATACGTATTTAAAATGTGTTAATAAACCATAAAACATTCTACAAAATATAGAAATATTTAGCCTCAGCCTTGTGTTTCAGAAACACTCCCTTGAAAAAAATAAATAAACCCAAATTACAGACTTCCTAAAGTAATTATTAATGAAAGAAAAGGAAAAGAATTCAACGAGTGCAGTGGCTCACAACTGTAATCCCAGCATTTTGGGAGGCTGAGGCAGGTGGATCACTTGAGACCAAGAGTTTGAGACCAGCCTGGCCAACATATTGAAACCCCATCTCTACTAAAAAATAAAAAAATTAGTCGGACATGGTGGCACACACCTATAATCTTAGCTGCTCAGGAGGCTGAAGCAAAAGAATCACTTGAACATGGGAGGCAGAGGTTACAATGAGCTGAAATCATGCCACTGCACTCCAGCCTGAGTGACAGAGTGAGACTCTGTCAAAAAAAGAAAAAGAAAAAGAGAAAGAAAGAAAGAGAGAGAGAGAAAAAAAGAAGAAAGAAAAGAAAAGAAAAAAAGAACTTTAGAATGTCAAGCTTCATGTACTGATGATTCAAAGTTTCAAAGTTTGGGGAAAGTACTGGATCATCCCCACTATAATATCAGGGCAATGGCCATCTGAATAAAACATTATGAGCCAGGGGTCACTTAACTCTGTAGGTTAGAGAACTTGCAAGAAACCAAACAAGCCGTGGAGCACCAGGAGAGACAAGGAAATCCACGTGTTATAGGCAGAACTGTCCTCCCCAAATTCATCTGTTGAAGTCTTAATCCTCAGTATGTCAGAATGTGACTGTATTTGCAGATAGGGTCTTTAAAGAGGTAATTAAGTTAGAATGAGGTCATTCATGTAAGTCCTCATTTATATGACCAGTCTCTTTATAAAAAGAGGACAGAGACACAATGGAGGGAAGATCATGCGAAGGTACATGGAGGAGATGACTGTCCACAAGCCAAGGACAGAGGTCTCGGAAGGAACGAAGCCTACTGACACAGTGATCTCAGACCTCCAGCCTCCAGAACTGAGAGACAATGAGTATCTGTGGTTTAAGCCAGCCAGGCTATGGGACTTAGTTATGGTCTTCCTGGCCATCTCATACACCCTGGCTCTGGGTTAGTCATCCCCCAGGCTCATCACCAAGTATGAATTCCCATGATTATGTGCCATGGCTGTCCCCTGCACAGGCTGCTGCTGGAGTGTGACATCACTTAGACTGGCTTTTCTTGTCCTGGGTTCATTCTTTGAGATGTAACCAAGGCTCTGCTGTGTGTTCAGTTTATCAA